ACCTGATGACCTGCACACGACCTGACCTTGCATACCCTCTGAGCATTCTTGCACGCTATGTTGCTCCTGGGAGACACAGACCAGAGCACATGGCTGCAGCGAAGAGGGTATTGCGCTACCTGTGCAGTACGTCGGGCATGGGGCTAGTGCTTGGAGGGCGGAGTCCAGTGGTCCTTACCGGCCACGCGGACGCTTCTTGGGCTGACGACCAGGCTACGCAGCGGTCGTCACAGGGTTACACCTTCAGCCTTGGTTCCGGCTCTGTCTCGTGGCGGTCTACTCGCTCGTCTTCGGTTCTCGGCTCCAGTTGTGAGGCTGAGATCTACGCCGGGGCCATGGCTGCACAGGAGCTTCGCTGGCTCACCTACGTGCTGACTGACCTTGGAGAGCCGCCTCGTTCTCCTCCAGTGCTGTACGTAGACAACAAGGCCATGCTGGCCTTGTGTCGAGAGCAGCGCTTGGAGCACAGAACGAAGCACATTGCTCTCCGCTACTTCCTTGCTCGTGAGCTGCAGCAGCGTGGTCAGTTGCGACTTGCGTACGTGGCCTCTGAGGCCAACACTGCTGATGTGTTCACCAAGGCACTCGCGCCTTGTGACCATCAGCGCTTTTGCACCCAGCTGGGTCTTGTGCCTGTCTTGCCTCACTTGCTCTCCTCTTGACTTCACTTGTACTGTGACATATATATATACCTGCTCTTGCTTGTCTAGTTTTATATATATGTCTGTACTCCTGCATGTGAACTGGCCTCTGGCCCTGCTCTTGTGCTCGGACTGTGTGGTGACTTTGTGATCCACCCTAAGCTTGCTTTGCTTTGCTTGACTGGTCTTGTGACCCATTGTTCTCCCCCACTTTGCGTTCACGGGAGCGTTTGCGCCGCGAGCGATCATCCTCACGACGCCCATAGTTCCTGCCATATCGCAGCTCGTACACATCCATGCTTGCACGCACACCCTTTCCGTTTGGTATGAAAGCGACGTAACTCTCACCTCAAGGGTCCTCCCTGAGTGGTGTGCCACCTGATGCAAAGCTGAGGTAACAACAGTCCACTATATGAAAGGATACCAAACGGAAAGCATCAGAGCTGTGTGAGAGAGTGACTTTACCTGACTTGGGCTCGAGCCGTGCATTTCTCAATGTGCGGCTCGAGCCTAGGTTGGTTTAATCACATTGGTCGCGTGGATTTCCCCCTTGGTGCTTTCCTAACAACCTTGCGTCAACTTCCCTGGTTCCCCACCTACCTACCCTCGAATATGCACACACAACATTGCTACACCCAAACCACCAGAACTACACCTCGATCTAACTGGCACCGTATATGCACAACCGTGCATATTCGGTGACAGCAGAAGGCTTCGTTCATGGTCATTTGAAAGGTGGCGGGGGCGTTGGTTAGTCCGAAGGGCATGACGGTATATTTGAAGGATCCGTAGCATGTTCGGAAGGCTGTCTTAGGGCAGTCGGGTGGGTTGACGCGAATCTGGTGGTAACCTCCCCGAAGGTCAATTTTCGAGAAAACCCGGGCTGTGCGCAGTTGGTCGATCAGTTTGTCGACTCGTGGAATGGGGTAACGGGATTTTATGGTAACCCGGTTCAGTGCTCTGTAGTCTATGCACATGCGAAAACCCCCGTCCTTTTTCGGTGTGAATAGTATCGGTGCTGCGAAGGGTGACGAACTAGGGCGAATGAACTCCTTCTCGAGCAGGTAATCTAGCTGCTTCCTCTGTTCGTCCAGTTCGGGTTGGGTCAGTCGGAACTGTCACTGTACTGTTGGATGTGCCCCCGGTTCTAGTTCTATCTTGTGGTCGTGCGGTCGCTGAGGTGGCAGTCCCGTCGGTAGGTCGTCCGGGAAGATGTCATTATATTGCTTCAAGAGTGCTGCGAGATCACTCGGTACGTCGGCTAGCAGTTTCTGTAAATCCCCCCCTTTGTTTGCTGCCTTGGCTTCCTGAATGTCAACCGCGTACACGTCAGCTCCTGCCGCTACGGCGCGTTTCATCGTGATCGCGTTGGCACGCACCGACGAAGACTCAGGTGAGCCCCAGCAAGGTAAGGAGAGGTTGTTACCGTTCACTCGCACAGTGCAGTCACCCGTCGTCCAGTCGATTCGCGGATTCTGTCGTCGCAGCCAATCACGCCCGAGTAAAATGTCGGTCCCGTCGAGGGTCGTTGCGAGCATTTCCTGGCTAAACGTGAAGTTACCCCCGCATCGAATCCGAACTCGGTCCACGCGTTCCTGTATCGCCAGTGGTGTGCCGTCGACCAGTCTTGCGTTGATCTCTGGTAAACATCTGTGCAGTGGCAGTCGCAGTTTTCGTGCTGTGGCAGTGTTGATAAGGCTGTGGCTGGCCTCTCCGTCTACGAAGATTTTAACCAAGTCCGTCCCGATTTTTCCACTAAGTAGTATAGAGCTGTCTACCGTAGTACCCTCCTTATTCGGCCGAGTGTGGTCGATTGCGTGAACCGGCACAATCACTCGGTGAGGGTCGGTTGGGTCGGGCGAGCGGCGTGACCTGTCAGTAGGGGGCCCGTCTGCTACTCACTCCCAGCGTTTCCCTGCTGCTTGGTCTGTTTCTGCTGCTCAGCTTCCCCCTTTCCCTTAGCATTTTCCGGGCATTCGCTCTTACGGTGTCCCGGCCGATTGCACACAAAGCAGAGCCCTTTGAATGGCGCGGCAGCGGCATTTGTGGCGACGGCACGTATCGTAGCGCCTTCGTTTGTCCCACGAGGCTGATGTCCCCAATTGCTGCTTCCGTAGGACCCCGGTCTCGGTCGGCGGAAGAAATCGAGTTTCTCCGCCATAGCGAGAATCTCCTGAAAATCGGTGACGCCGCGAAGCTGGATTTCCTGAGCGATGTCCTGCTTCAGGCCGCCGATGTAGCGGTCGATGCGTTCGCTCTCGTGCATATAACCCACTTGCTCGCATAGCGCCAGAAACCTGCTCGTGTAGTCTTGGACGGAACCGACTTGGCGCCAAGTGCGGAGCCTCTGTCGCGCCGTGATCGAAGCCGCAATTGGCTCGAAACGGGTGCGCACAGACGTGCGCACCACGTGTCCCACGTGCGATACTGGGGCACCTCCACGAAATACGACGGCGCCCAGGGTCCGGTTTGTCCTTCCCGTGTCGGTAGAGTCGCGTAGTCTAACGGCTTCGTGACGATGACGCTCAACCAATCCATGGCGGGTCCTCGCAGCAATGACACGTCGTAGCGGATTTTCGCCGTATCCTCCGAGACGTAGTTGGCGTCGAAAAACACGTTCATCGTGAACAACCACGCCTGAACGGTAGGACCACCCTGTTGGCTGGGATCGAAGCATGGCGGACGCTGCGGCTTCAGCGGCATCTGCGACGGTAAAGCTGATTCGCAGGCCGGCACCGAAATCATGACTCGAGGTTGATTCCTGGCCGCATTCGTCGCGTCGGGGTGCGTCGTGCCGTGGTCGTCGTCTCCGTCATGGCGGACGACGCCATCACTTGCGGTGCTCGCGGGTTGCCCCACACTTCCGTGTTGCGATGTCTGTGGTGCGGACTGAATCGGGGTGTCAGGTGCTTGGGATTGTGTTCGTGCGAGGTCATTTTGCAGGGAGGTATGTTCCGCCGTTAATGCCGCGATTTCTTCGGAGTTTTCGTGTAGTTGTCGCAGCAACTCGTCCAGGCGGTCCTGCGTGAGGTTAGTGACGTCAATATGTTCGGCCATTCCGAAGGGCGTCGGCTCGTCTTAGTCTAGGCGCAGTCGTGGCTGCACGTGTTTACGAGAGAACGCGAGGACATCGGCTCCTAGGTGCTAAGGTGCGTGAGTCCCTTCGAGTGAAAAATTCAAAAGTTGATTTCCTGGGGTGCGGAGATGCGCGGTCCGAAAAGGAAAGAGGCTCTGAATACCAAGTGTTACGGGTGCAATGAATCGAAGTACGGTAGCGAGAATGACACTACGGTGTCAAACGAGTATAAAATGTGAGCGAAGGCATGAGCGAACATTTATACGCGAAACATGCAAACGGTAACGCGGTGCGTGCGAGCCAGCTGGTGCTATGCTGGAAGTGAGGCTTGGGCTAGTCCCGATGCGTAGGCCGACGCGGCCAGGCCAGCAGTGCGAGGTTTGGTGAAATAGTGCGCGCGAAGTCGGCGAAGCCCCGTTAGCAGTAACGGGCAAACAACGGCCGCTGCTGTACGCGATGTCGCAGGGCGCACTAAGGAATATCGAGAAAATTCCTAACAGATACACTAGAACGATATGACTTGTGTCAACAAGAAACAAAACCTGATTCTTGTCCTCCTTTCCATCAACAGCCAATGCTACACTTGAGTTTCTTGTCAAAGTTAGCAGCATCCACCCATCAGGCCATAATGCAATCATCTCCTCACATCTATCCTAGTCCCCACTCTTAACCTTTGCAAGAGTCCAGGCACAAATACGTCAATCAGTTGTTTTACTAGGTGCATGAGCTTGCGATCATGCTTCCACAACATCTAGACGCCCAATTACCATACTCCCATCCCATCCATCTAAACGTCAACCATCAACGATACCATAGTACGATAGCACGAGTGGAAAAGCAACACATCTTCCCTCCTCACTCCAGCTCTCCTACTCCGGTCTCGTCAAGCCACAATCTCCCCACTCTTTATATCAATGACTATGACTCCCCACCTCACTTCACCTCACTCTGCCTCACTCCATCCCTCTCCTGCCAATCACCTCCATCCTTAACTCCACCTCTCCCTCCACTTGTACCTGTCTCATCAAGTACAGCACCAAGTCCCCATACCCCGCTTCAACAGCACCGAACTGTACTCATCTCCCCAACACTAAACCACTTCCATTTCACAATGGGAAACATCTCCCCACTCCCTGCATTCGCTTCTATCGCCTCCTTCCTCCCATTCCTCACTTCACTGCACCCTGTCTCGCCAGGTGAACCACAAACTCCCCATACCTCATAAGTGACTCTCCACAAGACTCCACCCACTCCACCTTTCTCCACCTCACTCCACCTCTCCCTCACTTCACCTGCACCTGCCTTGCCAGGTGAACCACAAACTCCCCATACCCCATCCCTGTAGCACTCCTATCCTCCACGAACGAATGGTAGAACGCCAGCTCACCGCTGCCGCCCTGCCGCAGCAGCTGCACCCCTTGATGACAAACCTCGCCGCCCCCTCTGCTGCCGTTGCCACCCGGGAAATCCCCGCTGCGCAGGGCATCGACTATGGCTGAGATTCGGGCGGCAAGTGGGCTGTCGGGCGGCGGAATGAAGGGAACCTGGCGGAAAACAAGATGCAAGGGCAGGAGGAAGGAGGAAGAGGAAGGGTAGAGTGTTGAGGGGAAACAGTGGAGGGGGGCCTCTTGCCCATCTTTTGTGCTACCAGTAATGGTGCTACATTTGATAAAACGGGAGAGAAGGGAGAAGTTGCTAAGGGGAAAGAGGGGGCGAAGAAATAGGAGGAGGAGGCATAGCCCGAACACTAGTACAGAGAATAAAGCCCAGGCCTTTGGCTTTACCAGGCTTATATCAGGGGCGTTCAGAGCGTCCTGCCCAGCGACATGCCTTGACTCAAAACACCCTGACACACCTAACACAAAACGTACCAGGCTTATATCGGGGGCGTTCAGAGCGTCCTGCCCCACAATCTGGGCGGCAGTGCCAGCTGGCAGCGCGCCGCCCAGCCAGAGCGTGAGGCCTGTGCTGTCGTCCAATAGGAACGCGCCCTGCGGGTCGAGTGATGACGTGGCGAGCGGCAGGGCGCGGGGGAGGGTGACGAGGCCAGCCGCGTCTTGCACCCCACACTACAAGTGGGAGAGAGGGGGGAGGGGGAGAAGGGGGGGGGGGAGGGGGAGGGGGAGGGGAGAGGGGAGGGGAGAGGGGTGGTTCGAAGAAGCATCGATGCATTCAACTGACAACCCACATTGCTGGAGGGGGGTGGAGATGAGAGGTGAGAGCAGCTAGGGACTGACATGCCATGCCGTCATGCAAATCTCTTACCCAAGTGATGGCATGTCATTCACCCACCTGAGCTGGCATCACATCAACACGTATGAGAGCGTGATCAATCCATAGCATACAGCATTCTCAGAATGCTCCAAGTCCTCCCAACCGACACCACCGTCCTCATCAGCCGTGCCCTGGGGATGCACAGACGACTTTTGAGACGCCTCAAAAGTCCTCATCAGCCGTGCCCTGGGAATGCACAGCCTCTTCAGCATGTGGATGCGAGCCCTCCCATGCATATACATTCTCACCTGTGCTGCCGTGCCATCCACGCACATCAACTTGGGGTACAGCATTCTCAGAGTCCTCCCAACCGACACCACCATCCTCATCAGCCGTGCCCTGGGGATGCACGTGTGGATCTTCTTCAGCGTGTGGTGAGAGTGTGGATGCGAGCCCTAACATGCCTCTACACTCTCGCCTGTGCTGCCATGCTATCCACACGTATCAGCCGGGGGTAAAGCATTCTCAGAGTCCGCCCCACCCACACCACCATCATCAGCATTCACAGCGCGGCAACCCCAATGCTGACCATCACTCAAGGCCCCCTCACCTGTGCCGGCATCACATCACATCCACTCGTACGAGACGTGGATACAGCATTCCCAGCGTCCGCCCCACCGGCACCACCATCATCTCAAACGCGGCCGCCGCCTGTGCATCCAGAGCACTCACAGTACACACATGCCCACCCACCATTCCACCCACCAAGAGCATGACTCTCCCTCACCTGTGCCGCCATGCTATCAACACGAATCAACCGCGGGTACAGCATTCTCAGCGTCCGCCCCACCGACACCACCATCATCTCAAACGCCGCCGCCGCCCGCGCATCCGCACCCATTTCCTGGAAGCCTCCTCTCAGCGCGGGGCACTTGCAGAGCGCAAGTGTGTAAAGCGGCAGCAGGCGGAGGGACTCGGGGAAGACCAGACGCTGCTGGGGGAGGTTTGGCTGGTGCATGTGGGATGGGTGGCCGTAGGGGTTGGTGGGAGGTCCGGGCGGCATTCCGTAACCGGATGTGCGGGAGAGGGCGGCGGAGCCGGCCGTCAGGATGCGGTACTCGCGGAGGGCGAGCGTTGTCTTGTTTTGGATGAGCTGGCGGCACTCCTCGAGTCGCGATGTGAGCGATTTGTCAAGAGCTGTGAGGGGTGGGTGAAAGAATAGAGAGCGAAGCGCAGGAAGGAGAGAGGTGAGTAAGGAGGGGAGGGAGAAGAGGAGCTGGTAGTGCTCCTCGAGATGCGATGTGAGGGACTTGTCAAGTGCTGTGAGGGGAGGCAGGATACAATGAGAAATTGAGGAGAGAGGGGAGAGAGAGAAGGGAAGGAGGGAGACAAGGTGCAATGAGCTGACGGCACTCCTCGAGGCGCGATGTGAGGGACTAGTTGTCTTTTGAGAGTGCTTTAGGAGGTGAGAGTGGTGGGAGAGGGAGGAGGGAAAATGATGAAGTGAATAGCGAGGAAGCTGGTGGCAGTCCATGCGAGTGAGTTGTTTTTGAGAAATGTGAAAAAAAAAACCCATGCAAAATGAGATGCGAGTGAGTTGTTTTGAGAAATGTAAAAAAATCCCATGCAAAATGAGATGAGAGAGAGTTGTTTTGAGAAATGTAAAAAAAAACTCCCATGCAAAATGAGATGCGAGTGAGTTCTGCGAGAGGTGGGAGAAAGAGGTGAGTGAAGAGCGGAGACGAGTGAAGGGAGGGAAAAAAACGAGGAAAGAATGAACCTGAAACGAGGAAAGAATGAACCTGAAACAAGGAAACCAGGAAAAACGACACCACCTCCTTTTGAGACATGGTTAGAGTGAACAGGGCTAAATGCCAGTCACCAGATGAAGACTCATCAACTCACCTATTTTTGCCAGGAGGGCCGCAGTGGCCCCCACGTCGCACCGCCGGTACAACTCCGCCACGTCCCTCAATCGACAATCGACACGGCCAGAGTGTGCACGCGAATGCGCCTCTCCTCTGAGTTGACAAGAAGACTACCCAACACTCACCAATCTTCGCAAGCACAGCTTCTGTCGCCCCGACATCGCACCGCCAGTACAACTCCGCCATGTCCCTCACGATCGGCACAGCCAGTGTATGCACACGAATGCGCCTCCCTCCACACGACGATGTGTACAGCAGCGCGCACTGCAGGTAGGCGGTGGTATGGTTGGCCAGCACGGCTTCTCCGTGGGAGATCTGCCCATGCATTGAGTGCGTGAGGCAGCTAACGCACCGGTCCCAACTCACCTATCTTTGCAAGCACGGCTGCCGTCGCCCCGACGTCGCACCGCCGGTAGAGCTCCGCCATGTCCCTCACAATGGGCACACTCAACGTGTGTGCCCTGCCTGCCTAAACCTTCTCTGCTATGCTCTGTTCTGCTCACCTATCTTCGCCAGGACAGCAGCAGTGGCCCCCACATCACACCGCCGGTAGAGCTCCGCCATGTCCCTCACAATGGGCACGGCGAGCGTGTGCACACAGACAAATGTGCATCATCCCTACGTGACAACTCAGAACTCACCGATTTTGGCGAGCACAGCCGCAGTTGCACCCACATCACACCGCCGGTAGAGCTCCGCCATGTCCCTCACAATGGGCACAGCAAGCGTGTGCACGCGAATGCGCCGCTCTCCACACGACGACGTGTACAGCAGCGCGCACTGCAGGTAGGCGGTGGTTTGGTTGGCTAAGACAGCCTCCTCGTGGGAGATCTGCACGGCGTAGCCCTTGTCTGCATCCGCTGCTGGGATGGCCAGTAGGTCGCTGCTGCGGATGAAGAAATGGCCGTGGAATGTGGCGATCTTGAGGCCTGGGGAAGGAAGGGCAAGGGAGGCATGGCGGGTAAGGGGGGGGTTCACAGAAAGACAGAGGAGATGTGCACAACAAAGCCCTTCCCCTTGTCCACATTCGCTGCTGGGATGGCCAGCAGAACGCTGCTGCGGATGAAGAAATGCCCGTGGAAGGTTGCGATCTGGTTTTTGAGAATTCTCAAAAGTGCCCGTGGAAGGTTGCGATCTGGTTTTTGAGAATTCTCAAAAGTGCCCGTGGAAGGTTGCGATCTGGTTTTTGGGAATTCTCAAAAGTGCCCGTGGAAGGTTGCGATCTTGAGACCTGGATGGGAGAGGGAAGGGAAGCAAGAGGGGTAGGGGTGGAGGGGTTGAGGATGGAGTAACGTTCTTGTACAGCAGTGCACACTGCAAGGGAGGGTAAGGAGCGTGAGGAGGCCTGGGGAGAGCAAGCGGGGGTTTTGCAGGGAGAGTGAGGAGATGCGCACTGCATGGCCCTTCCCTGTGTCCGCTGCTGGGATGAGCTGGTAATGAAAGGGTGCCTGTGGAACGTCGTAATCTTCAGGAAAATCGTGCACTTTCCTTACCCCCTTCCCCTCCCCCATCCCTCCCCCCCCCCACCTTTCTCTCAACCATCATCCCCCATAACCCACCTGCCTCCTGTCTCCCCACGCACCCACCTTTACTGCAGCGGATGCGCATCACGGATTCCCATGCCGTCTCCCGTGTGAGGTTCCTCACGATCTGGCTCCTCAGCTTGTCCCCATCGTTGGCCAGATGGAAGCCACTGAAGTGATACACCTGCCCACCCGTGTAGCGCGCCAAGGTGCCTGGAAGATGAGACGCAGAGAGGCAAGGAGGACACAGATGCGTTTCGCTTCGCAGCAGCTGGTCGCCGGCATTAGCCGGGTGCGAAATGTGCCTGGAAAGGCCCACAAAGGGATAGACCTGCCCGCCTGTGTAGCGCACCAAAATTACTGGATGGAGTGGAGGGGAGTGGAGGGGAGTGGAGGGGAGTGGAGGGGAGTGGAGGGGAGTGGAGGGGAGTGGAGGGGAGCAAAGGAGAGGGTAAAGAATCACATCAAGGCATCTGGCTACGCAGCTTGTCCCCGCTGTTGGCTAGTGGGGACCAGCATACTGGTACACTTGCCCGCCCGTGTGGCATGCAAATGTGTCTGCGCACCGTGCCCCCACTCGACAGATTCATGCAAGCACTCACCGAGCCATGCCAGGTCGCAGTACTTGCTGCTGAAGACGAACGTACCCACACAGATCTGCGCATGGGAGAACTCCTACTTTTCTCCAAAGCAGCCAAACCCAGGCGTACCCAGCAATACCGACCACAGCCCTCCACTCACCGAGGGACGCCAGGTCGCAGTACTTGCTGCTGAAGACAAACGTGTCGACACAGATCTGTGCACGGGAGAACTCCGCCGCTGTGGTCTTGTAGAAACCGTCCTCAGAGCAGCGCACCGTGTGCTCCCTGTCCGTGCCGTACAGTCTTGGGTCGTCCCCCCTCAGCCTCAATCTCCCGGCTCCTAGAGAGGGCATGGTGGATTGAAAGAGAAGCACCTTGCCGCCCAGCTGACTCTGCAATGGGAGCAGGAGTTAGTGGGAGTGAAGAGAGGTAGAAGGCGTCCTCAGAGTCAGAGCAGCGCACTGTGTGCTCCCTGTCCGTGCCGTACAGTCTTGGGTCGTCCCCTCTGAGCCTTAGCCTGCCTGCCCCTAAGGAGGGCATGGTGGACTGGAAGAGAAGGACTTTCCCTCCCAGCTGGCTCTGCTCAGGACAGAACCGGGGTTTGGATTCAGGGGAGTGGAGTGCGGTGGAAAGGGTCAGTACAAGGCAGGTAGAAGGCGTCTTCAGAGTCAGAGCAGCGCACTGTGTGCTCCCTGTCCGTGCCGTACAGCCGGGGGTCGTCCCCTCTAAGCCTCAATCTTCCCGCCCCTAGAGAGGGCATGGTGGATTGAAACAGGAGGACCTTTCCGCCCAGCTGACTCTGTTTGGACCAGAAGGGGACAGCAGGGGAAGACGCGGGGAAGAAAGGAGTGGAGTGCGGTGGAAGGAGGAGGTGGAAAGGATGAGTAAGAGGCGTCTTCTAGAATGCGTCTTCAGAGTCAGAGCAGCGCACCGTGTGCTCCCTATCCGTGCCGTACAGGCGGGGGTCATCGCCTCATAGCCTCAGCCGCCCAGCGCCTAAGGAGGGCATGGTGGACTGGAAGAGAAGCACCTTGCCACCCAGCTGACTCTGTTTGTACCAGAGGGGGACAGAGGGGCGAGACGGGGGAGGAAGGGAGTTGAGTGAGATGGGCTAAGGGAGGGGGGCGGAGAAGCAGGCAGCAGTGCAGCAGTACTCCGCCCCCCTTTTCTCCCCTTCACTTTTGAGAATCACTTTTGAGAATACTCAGAAGCAGGCAGCAGTACTCTGCCCCCTTTTCCCCGCTTCAAACAGCAGGCACACAGGCTTACCACGAGCAGCGCCATGGTCTTGAGCGCAGGCCCTATAGCAGACTCCACGTTGACAGAGTTGCTGAAGAGATTCAGAAGCGCATCCAGAAACGCCCCCACCACGGGGCGGCTCTCGTGTGCGTTCACGAGCAGCACCATGGCCTTGAGCGCAGGCAGACCCCACAGCAGACTCCACATTCACACTGGTGGCAAACAGGTTCGGCAGCGCGTCCAAAAACGCGCATGTTGACTAGCAGCACGTCCAAAAACGCGCATGTTGACTAGCAGCGCGTCCAAAAACGTGCATGTTGACTAGCAGCGTGTCCAAAAATGTGCATGTTGACTAGCAGCGCGTTAAAAAACGCGCATGTTGACTAGCAGCGCGGCCAAAAACGCGCATGTTGACTAGCAGCCCGTCCACAACAGGGCGGCTCTCGTGCATGTTGACTAGCAGCTCGTCTTCGGGGAGTGGCAGGTAGGGGGAGAGCAGAGAGAAGCAGGCAGCTGTACCCTTTCCCCTTTAAACCCTGTATTCCCCCCTTCAAACAGCAAACGAATGGGCTTACCACGAGCAGGGCCATAGCCTTCAAGGCAGGCCCCATAGCAGACTCCACATTCACCGAGTTGGCGAACAGACTCGGTAGAGCGTCCAAAAAGGCTTCCACGACGGGGCGGCTCTCGTGCATGTTGACGAGCAGCTCGTCTTCAGGCAGAGGCAGGTAGGGGAAAGGCGAGGCACGCTGGCTGTACCCTTTCCCTTTTACCCTTGGAGCGACAGAGGATAGGGAGGAGGGGCTTACCACAAGCAGGGCCATGGCCTTCAAAGCAGGCCCCATGGCAGACTCCACGTTGACCGAATTAGCGAATAAGTTGGGTAGAGCGTCCAAAAAAAGCTTCCACGACGGGGCGGCTCTCGTGCATGTTGACTAGCAGCTCGTCCTCGGGGAGAGGCAGGTAGGTGTCGTCGATGTCGGCGGAAACGAGGATGTGCGGCTGCGTGAGGGACGGCTTGAAGGACGGCTTGAGGTGAGGGAGCAGAGAGGCTTACCACGAGTAGTGCCATGGCCTTCAAGGCAGGCCCCATAGCAGACTCCACGTTGACCGAGTTGGTGAAGAGATTCGGCAGTGCGTCTAGGAATGCCTCCACGACATGCCTGCTCTCGTGCATGTTCACGAGCAGCTCGTCCTCGGGCAGAGGCAGGTAGGGGTCGTCGATGTCGGCTGAGACGAGGATGTGCGGCTGCGTGAGGGACGGCTTGAGGGAGACGAAGTGTAGTGCGGAGTCGAAGAGCAGAAAGCCGATGCGCGTGCGCGTGTCCCCTGGGAGGGCGTCGAGGCAGGCCCGGATAGCGTCGGATATGACCTGGGGATTGTGGGGGACCAGGGGAGGATGGGAAAAGGGAGGAAACGGCATGGTTTTAGCCAGAGTTCAGAGGCAGAAAGGCGAGGTGGGTAACGGGAAGTGGCGAGGATGTGTGGCTGCGTGAGGGACACGAAGTGCAGCGCGGAGTCGAAGAGCAGAAAGCCGATGCGCGTTCGCGAGTCCCCTGGGAGGGCGTCGAGGCAGGCCCGGATGGCGTCAGAAATCACCTGGGGATTGTGGGGGAGGGTGAAGCATGGGAGGAGGGGAAAGGGAAGGAAACGGCATTGTTTTTGCACGAGTTCAGGGGCGGGAAGAGGAGGTGGGCACTGGGGGTGACGAGGATGTGCGGCTGCGTGAGGGAGGGCTTGAGGGACACGAAGTGCAGCGCGGAGTCGAAGAGCAGAAAGCCGATGCGCGTGCGCGTGTCCCCTGGGAGCGAGTCCAGACATGCCCGGATGGCGTCAGAGATGACCTGAAGGGATGGGAGGAAAGGAGTGGGAAACAGGGAGGGGAAAGGAAGGGGAAGAGGATGGGGGAGGAGTCCGCGAGGAGGAAGGCGATGTGTGTGCACGTGTCCCCTGGGAGCGAGTTCAGACAGGCCTGGATTGCGTCAGATATCACCTGGGGAATGGAAAAGGGGGAGCGGAAGGAGATGGGGGAGGGGTGGGTTGAGTCGAAGAGCAGTGGTAGGTGGGGGGGATCATCAATGTCGACGGTGACTCACCAACGACTCACCTGCAACACTGCCGCGAATTAGCGCACACTCACTGCTCTCGTAACAGCCTTACATCCTCACCTGATTTGCAACAACTGATTGCCCTCACCTGATTTGCAACAACTGATTGCCCTCACCTGATTTGCAACAACTGATTGCCCTCACCTGCTTTGCAACAACTGATTGCCCTCACCTGCTTTGCAACAACTGATTGCCCTCACCTGCTTTGCAACAACTGATTGCCCTCACCTGCTTTGCAACAACTGATTGCCCTCACCTGCTTTGCAACAACTGATTGCCCTCACCTGCTTTGCAACAACTGATTGCCCTCACCTGATTTGCAACAACTGATTGCCCTCACCTGATTTGCAACAACTGATTGCCCTCACCTGCTTTGCAACAACTGATTGCCCTCACCTGCTTTGCAACAACTGATTGCCCTCACCTGCTTTGCAACAACTGATTGCCCTCACCTGCTTTGCAACAACTGATTGCCCTCACCTGCTTTGCAACAACTGATTGCCCTCACCTGCTTTGCAACAACTGATTGCCCTCACCTGATTTGCAACAACTGATTGCCCTCACCTGATTTGCAACAACTGATTGCCCTCACCTGATTTGCAACAACTGATTGCCCTCACCTGCTTTGCAACAACTGATTGCCCTCACCTGATTTGCAACAACTGATTGCCCTCACCTGCTTTGCAACAACTGATTGCCCTCACCTGCTTTGCAACAACTGATTGCCCTCACCTGCTTTGCAACAACTGATTGCCCTCACCTGATTTGCAACAACTGATTGCCCTCACCTGATTTGCAACAACTGATTGCCCTCACCTGCTTTGCAACAACTGATTGCCCTCACCTGCTTTGCAACAACTGATTGCCCTCACCTGCTTTGCAACAACTGATTGCCCTCACCTGCTTTGCAACAACTGATTGCCCTCACCTGATTTGCAACAACTGATTGCCCTCACCTGATTTGCAACAACTGATTGCCCTCACCTGCTTTGCAACAACTGATTGCCCTCACCTGCTTTGCAACAACTGATTGCCCTCACCTGCTTTGCAACAACTGATTGCCCTCACCTGATTTGCAACAACTGATTGCCCTCACCTGCTTTGCAACAACTGATTGCCCTCACCTGCTTTGCAACAACTGATTGCCCTCACCTGCTTTGCAACAACTGATTGCCCTCACCTGCTTTGCAACAACTGATTGCCCTCACCTGCTTTGCAACAACTGATTGCCCTCACCTGCAGGACCCCGGACCGAGCGTTGTTAACGGATGCATCAATGATGAAGAAGGTGGGAGGCATGGGCGGGCGGAGCGGACCATGCACTCCACGGGCGCCACAGAGGGCAGGGAAAGAACGAGGGAGGGGGATGACTCTGACACTGACAGGTATTGCTCGCAAACGCTCACCTGCAGGAACCCCGACCGTGAGTGTGTTGACGGAAGCATCTATGAGGAGGAAGGAGGTGAGAGGCATGGGCGGGCGGACCATGCACTCCAATTCATTCACGCTCTGAGTCGAGGCAGTGTGGAGTTCGTTGCGCACGCAATTCATTCACGGGCTCCACACTGCCTCGACTCAGAGCACACTCACTGCCCTCGAAGCAGCCTTACATTCTCACCTGCTTTGCAAAGAGTGTCCTGAATGTGCTCACCTGCAGGACCCCTGACCAGGCATTGCTGACAGAAGCATCTATCAGGAAGAAGAATGTCGGAGGCATGGGCGGGCGAACCATGTACTCCACAGGGGCTACAAACTCCACACTGCTACCAAGACTCAGAGCACACTCACTGCCCTCGAAGCAACCTCACATCCTCACTTGCCTGCAAAGGGTGTCCTGAAAGGGCTCACCTGGAGGACCCCTGACCGGGCATCGTTGACAGACGCATCTATAAGGAAGAAGAAGGTGGGGGGCATGGGCGGGCGAATCATGTACTCCACAGGGGCAACAAGAGATGAGGAGAGAGGGGGGGGGAGGAACCAGGAATTGAGGGAAGGAGGAACAAGGATCAACGGCTCACCTGCAGGACCTCTGAGTGCTGACCGGGCGTTGTTGACCGATGCATCGATGAGGAAGAAGAAGGTCGGGAGCATGGGCGGGCGGACCATGTACTCCACGGGCGCAACGAAGTCCACCACACTGTTGCGACTGAGCCTTAAATCCTCACCTTCTTGCAACGGACTGGGCCACCAGTGCTGCTCACCTGAAGGACCCCCGAGCGAGCATTGTTGACGGAGGCGTCGATGAGGAAGAAGAAGGTGGGCGGCATGGGCGGGCGGACCATGTACTCCACGGGCGCAACGAGAAAGAGAGGAAGGAAGGGGGGAGGCTCACCTGCAACACTCCCGACCGTGCATTGTTGACAGAGGCGTCGATGAGGAAGAAGAAGGTGGGCGGCATGGGCGGGCGGACCATGTACTCCACGGGCGCCACGAACTCCACACTGCCGCGGCTCAGCTCCGGCCGCTGCTGCCAGTCCGTGCGCCTGCCGGTGCTGTCCAGATTGCAGTAGTAGTCGTGGGATACTGCAAGAAGGGGGGAGAGAGTGGGGGAAGGGGAGTATGCATGGCTTTACAGGTCACTGCTGCCAGTCCGTGCGCCTGCCCGTGCTGTCCAGATTGCAGTAGTAGTCGTGGGATACTGGCAGGCGAGAGGAGACCGGGGGTGTTGGGGAAGCGGAGGAGGGGGGAGCAGGGGAAAGGGGGGAGTATGCAAGGCTTCACAGGTCGCTGCTGCCAGTCCGTGCGCCTGCCCGTGCTGTCGAGATTGCACTAGTAGTCGTGGGATACTGGGGAGCGGGGGAAGGGGTTAAGGGGGCAAGGGGGTGGAGGGAGGTGCGGTGAATGGGACTGACAGGTCGCAGCTGCCAGTCCGTGCGCCTGCCCGTGCTGTCGAGATTGCAGTAGTAGTCGTGGGATACTGCAAGAAGGGGGAAGAGAGTGGGGGAAAAAGGAGGAGGGTGCATGTGCATGGCAGCATGGGATTCACAGGTCGCTGCTGCCAGTCCGTGCGCCTGCCCGTGCGGTCGAGATTGCAGTAGCAATCATGGGACACTGGAGAGGAAAGGGGAGAAGAAAGGGGAGAAGGTAGAGAAGCGGCTTCCTGTGCTGCTGAGGTGGCAAATGTACACTCACTTACCCTCAAACACTCAAACACTCTCACTTACCCTCAAACACTCTCACTTACCCTCAAACACTCAAACACTCTCACTTACCCTCAAACACTCAAACACTCTCACTTACCCTCAAACACTCAAACACTCTCACTTACCCTCAAACACTCGAACACTCTCACTTACCCTCAAACACTCTCACTTACCCTCAAACACTCAAACACACTCACTTACCCTCAAACACTCAAACACTCTCACTTACCCTCAAACACTCAAACACTCTCACTTACCCTCAAACACTCAAACACTCTCACTTACCCTCAATCACTCAAACACTCTCACTTACCCTCAAACACTCAAACACTCTCACTTACCCTCAAACACTCAAACACTCTCACTTACCCTCAAACACTCAAACACTCTCACTTACCCTCAAACACTCGTAATGGCCTGTTTCACTCTCATTCCCCCTCAAACACTCAAGCCTCCCTCCCTCCCTCTTACACGCACCTTCATTGAGCAGGTTGCAGCTGTTACAGCGCCAGCGCCGGCCAGCATCAGTGAAGGTGACAAAGGGGTTGACGTACGTGCGACAGCGGCGGCACCTGATGATGCCCGCCGACCCAAAGTTCACCACCGGCACCTCCTCCTCCTGCACGCACAGTCAGTAACATAATGGTGGTACAGTAAACAAAGAGTTCACATCGTTAGAGGCGCTTCAAACAGCGGCGGCACCGGGTGATTCCCGCCGACCCAAAGTTCACCACTGGCACCTCCTCCTCCTGCACGCACAATGATTGACATTTTGGTGATACAGTAGAAAAGAATTCACACTTTTGAGGCGCCTCAAACAGCGGCGGCACCGGATGGATGATGCCTGCCGCCCCAAAGTTAACCACCGGTACCTCTTCCTCCTCCTGCACGCACAATGATTGACACAACGTTACAATACTTGTCAGTAACACCACTTGTCACGTACACTTGCTGTCACCTACCCTCACCTACCCTTGCCATCTGCACCACATGCCACCTACCCTTGCTGTTGTCACCTACCCCAAAAGTCACCTGCCCCTATTGGTACCTTGATACCTACTCTAAAAGTGGGAGTGAAGGGCTGTAGCACCGCCCCAAGACGCAGGTGCCACTTGCAATCACACAACCTGCACCACCTGCCACCTACCCTTGATGTTACCTACCCCAGAAGCCACATGCCCCCAGAAGCAACATGCCCCCAGAGGAAACTACCCCAGGAGGAGTGGGAGCGAGGGGGTGCAGCACCGCTCCAAGAGGCAGATGCCACCTGCAGTGCCACCTACCCTTGCTGTTACCTACCCCAATAGGCACCTTCCCCTACTGGTACCCTGGTACCTACCCCGGGAGGAGTGGGGGCGAGGGGCTGCAGTATCGCCCCAAGAGACAGATGCCACCTACCCCACTTTCGTCCTGCCCCTATTGCACCTATCCCGGAAGCCACTTCCCAAGTAAAAACCTACCCCAGGAGGAGTGGGAGCGAGGGGCTGCAGCACCGCCCCGAGTGGCAGGTGCCACCTGCTCCGGAGAGACTGGGAGTCCGGAATTGCCCCGCAGGTCATCCTAAAGTACCGCGGATGCGCGTTCCCTTCGATCTCCGCCAATCCTCCCCCCACCAAGCCTTCCCCCCACCCCTCAAGCGCCTCCTCCCCGCCATCCGCCCCCCCCGCGGAGTCTTCTCCGCCGATCGCTACCCCCGCTGGCCGCGGAAGCGCGGAGTAATCAACCGCGTCCGCTCCCCCTGCGCCGGGCCCTCCGCCGATTGCGAGCGACTGGAGGTCTTCCGCCAATGCTTGCGCGGCTGCTGCTTGCGCCATGGCGGGGGGGGTTGCCGCTGCGCCTGTGGGCAGGGGACCAAGCGGAGCGGGAGCCTGTGGGGGAGGAGCGCCGAAGGGGGGAGGCGCGCCAAAGGAGGGCGCAGCGGGAGGCTGTGATGCAGGCGCGCCAAATTGCGCGGAATGTTGCGCGGTCGGGGGGTATCCGGGGGGAGGGGGAGGTTGGGATCCATAAGGCGGAGGCGCAGGGGCGGAAGAAAATGGCGGAGGGCGAGTAGTAGGTGCGGATCCGTACCCCGGGGGAGGGCCCGTTGGCGGAGCACCTAGGGGTGGCGGAAATGCGGGTCCCTGCGCGCCTGCGCCCATTGGAGGCGGACCCGGGGGAAGAAACGGCGCGGTACCAGGCGGCCGCGCGGCAAACGGCGGAGGCGGCTGCGCGGAACCCGCCACTGGGGGAGGTCCTGGGGGAGGGCCAGCTGGTCTTCCGAAAGGAGGCGGACCGGGGCGCTGCTGGAAGGGGGTAGGCGCAGCCGCTGCGGGGGGAGGTTGGCCATAAGGGGGGGGACCAGGGGGAGGCGCACCCGCCAAAGGCCCGTTCGCTACCCCTGGCGGGGGACCTACCGGCGGCGCACCTCCAAACGGCGGACCTGGCGGGCGGGCGCCTGGTCTATTCGGCGGAATGAACCCCCCAGGCGCCGCTGGTGGTTGCGCGCCGGGCGGAGGGCCCGTCGGGGGTTGCGCGAAGGCCGGCGGAGGGTGACTGGTGGCGGAAGGCGGAGTAGGCCCTCCGAATGGGGGAGGCGCGGAGCCGTGAGGGCCCGCGGGAGGAGCAGCGAAGGCTGGCGGCCCCGCGAACGGCGGAGGGCCGCCGAATGGGGGGCGCGCGCCGGCTGGCGGAGGGCCGGCGAAGGGCGGAGGGCCCCGCGGATAGGGGTGACCTCCAGGCGCACCGGATGACATCGGGACGCAAATGAATTACCTAATGAGCGATTATGCGAATTCAATGCGCGAGAGTAACGGAGAAAGCGATCCGTCTATATGAGCTCAGATCTCTAGGATATGAGATCTGCGAGACAATCGAACACCCTAATTTCACAAACCGAATTCAGCTACGATATTAAACGCCAACACGTTCCTCCCAACAGCCGATCGTCTACTCTAATCGCATCTAAGCGGTGTCTGCTAGCCTGCTGAAAGAGCTTGATGAGCTGAGCAGATAAACGGATCGGCGAAGGAACGAGCATGGCAGTGTGCGACCGAACAACGAACGGCGTGAATGGGTGGTGGAGGATCGACGGCGGTCTACACTAGATCCGTCGGTGGTGGTGGTGGTGGCTCATCGCCAACTGTGCTTGTCCTTCCCAAATCCAAGGATTCAGCTTGCCTCCACGGCAGTTCCCCAAGACAAAGCCGTCTCAGGCGAAAATCGTTCGCTCCTTAGCTGAAGTGCATTGAAGTACGTTCGGTTACACTTGCCACTACAATCTTTCGCGAAGGAATGCCACTGTTTTTACATCGAAGGCTTCGTTACTGAACATCGAAGGCATTTTGGGTGAATCTAGATGGTGAAAGATGCACAGGTCAAGACACATAAATTCGTTTCCATAGCATCTACATTAAAACACAATGGCATACATACCATGCCTTTCATACAAACCACAATAGCCTCGAGGTGAGGCACATCTAACTTGCAGGAAAACACCATGACCTGCTACTACTAGTAGGGCCTGTTTTGGCCGGCTTGGGTTCTTCCTCTTTATTCACTCCCACTTCCGCGAGGAGAGTGAGAGGAGAGCATAGCTTTGCTCCTCTGCTCCTAAGCTAGGCGCCAATCCGCCGTTTTCTGAAGCTTCAGAATCTCGAGCTTTACACGCCTTCCTCCACGTCGTCCACCTCAACAAAGACTTCGCCGCTATCATCGTCAAAGAACGACGTTACCTCAAACTTCGGGTGTTTCGCTAGCCACTCGCTGATCGCAACTTGCACGTCAGCGGAGTCGCGCTGGTTGTCGTTCTCTTCGACGGCATGGATTAAATCCTCCCAGCCGCTTCGTGAACGGAGCAGGGCAGCACGTGCCGACGCCGCCACTTCTTCCTCTAATCCGCCGTCCAGAATCATTTCTGCAGATTCTTCTGGAACGACACGTGGCACATTGAAGACGCCTTGCAGGTTCAGCTCCAGGATCTCGCCTTCGCCGCCGTCAAGAATACCATTTCCGCCATTATCCGAGGGTTCCGCATCGTCAGCTGGCGATCGGAGAACGGAGAAGGCATCTGGTACGCGGACGGCTTCCGCGACTGACACGGCGAGAATGAGAGCAATAGCCAACACTGATAGACACGAGTAGCGAGCCATGAGCGTGGATGAAGGATGAGCTGGTTTGATGGGTCTGCAGCAGAATGTTGAGCGTAGGATGAAGCTGGTAGGCTGTGAGTCTGCGAAAGCTTGAGCAGAATATGTCTGAGATTGTCCTGGAAACCGAGTCGATCACTCACAATAAGCAAACACCGCTTAGGTTCCGGCTAAATACAAGCGGCGTGCACTCGGAAAAATGCACACGAGAGGGAGAGGAGGGAAAGCTGGGATAAATCGAGAGGATCGACGAGGAACGCAAACGAAGAGGCAGCGTGGTGGCCGAGGTTGGTAAGGAAGTTCGAATTCCAGAGTGGGAAGATATCCGATAGCTGTGATTCCAATACAAAACTGCATGCACAAGCTCCTTCTCGAGCTTATCGTCTTGCCAGCTGCACCGCGCCACTTCTTTGCTTGCGAATAGGAGAGGAGGAACGAGTTCTTGGGATTGCCGCAGAGCCTTGCTTTGCTTGGCACTTCAACGAGAACTTAGTAGGAAGAGGCTGCGATTTCAGCTCGCTTGGATGCACAAAATGCGGCTGGCGTTCGCACCAATAAATCCACGCAGAATCAAGCGCGCATTGGGGCTCCCCGCGCTAGTAATGACCCGTCACAATTGCGACATCGAGGAGGATTGCGGTCACACACCGAATCTGCGAGAATCGATCTCCTCTGAGCCAGATGTGTCGCGATTGTCTTCAGGTTCGAAAGTTAGCGGGGTTAGAGGCATTTTTAAAAGTTTTCAATGCTTTAAGTAGGATTTGAGTGCGGTGACAGATCGATCTGGAAGGGTCATCGCGTTCGGTAACTTGTGTCGGGTCTTAACGAACTTTGACGAAAAAAGGATACAAGACACAGCGACTTACTGTATAATCGGAACATAGATCTCCCGCAGTATCGATGTCAAAATTGTTACGCGTCCTTATTTGCTAGCAGTTGATTTCAAGCTGTCCGCGATATTGCGCCTGCCTTGGTGGCTAGTATTATTGACATGCAACGTCTTGTTTGTTTGAGGTACTGACATCCGTCGGATTCGTCTGGTTATCTTGCTCCCGACCGTCAGATGAAGTGGACCTGACGACGTTCTTTGACTACTCGTCCCTGGTGACCCTCAATAATTGTGTGCGACTGGTGGTGATGGACGAGGACGAGACGTCGCACAACCTGTCGTCGTGGTCGCCATCTGTTATGCACACTGCATGGAAACACATACACCCATTGGGTCTTGAGCCGCCTTATAAAGATGTCATCAATCTCATTTCTATAAATGTGCTCAAAGATGATGAAATGCGTGTGAGACCTTTGTGTATACAGTATCGACACATGAACATAGAAGCCATACTGAAATAATATAATTTGAATGGATTTATACATTACATATTAATGACACACTTTGTTTTAAGTACGTCATTTAACCAGGCGCAAAAATCGCCACCACTTATAATACTCAATGGTACAGTCGAAGGCGGACCAGAAGAAATAACATTTTATTTGACATGAAGCTGTCAATAGTGACATTTTTTGCCAACAACCAGCCTGATGCCCTAATCCTCTGCACGTTGCCGCGCATCGTTCTGGATCACTGAAATTTAACGGCTAGAATATAATAGTTCACTAACCGCTTCAAATTGCACACAATCGTAGGACACCGAGTTTACCGACCAGAAAGTGAACTCGTACACTCGCCTGTCGTCAAAAGCTGCTTTTTTTCCTATCTTTCTATTGCTTTGGCTGGCACGTGTTTCAAGTTCTCGCTGCCAATGCGGAGCAGCTAAGAGGGCTCAAAGCCGCGTAGACCTTTCAGGCAATTAGCTGCGAATGCATCCACGCTAATTCTACAACGTACACGCGCTAAGGGTGTACGCAGGCTGCACGTCGGCGAGAGTTCCGCTACGGACGTTGGTGGGAGTTCCGCTGAAAGGCTGCTGCTAGCGTGAGGGTCATGAGAAGCAGCGAGAACGAGGCAGATAGTTTGAAATTGGGAGGCGGAGCCGAAAGTAGTCACGCAATGGGTCGCGAGTATGGCCGACCGTCGATGCCCTGGCGACTATCTGGCCCCTGGCTCAGGTGCGAAAATACCAGATGCGCGTAATTCATGACTGAAACGTGATTGTATGGAAGCCCTTAAGTTCAATTCTTCAGATTTTACCCCAATTACGGGGTCGGTTCCGTTTACAGTAACGTCGCGTTCCGTATCGAATGGTGGTGGTTAGGAGCGTTACATCTCGGTGATGCGAGCCTCACTAGCAACTGCTTAGCAATTGTGAGAATTGTGTTTAGGACGTAATTAGGAACCGTTTACCATAATTGAAGTGCTTCCTTTCAATGACGTCTGCTTGTGATTCTTCCGGTGCTTCCGCTCCCCCATTCCGTTGTTCCCTCCCCTGATTGCACCTTTATCCCCCTCAGTTCTTCCAGCGGCCTGCTTGCAGTGTTCAACGCAGCCTTCCGCAACCTTTAATGGAGTTTCTTGTCACAAAACGAAGCGGCCGTCCGTGAAGTGCTTTTCAACCTTCTCCCTCCCTTCCCATTCCTCCTTTCCCTTTCATTTTTGCGTCTGCCTCCCTGCATCCATTCCGCCCTCCACTCATCCCAGAGTGGCCTGACGGTGTTGTCTTACAGCCTGACGTCAATGGCCATGGCGTTTCTCAACAAAAACTTGCCACAACACCACGGCTCACTCACAAGTCCTCACATCCCCTGCGACATCCATCCCTTGGTTCTCCCTATTCACCTTCCCTCTCCCTGGCATCCCACAGCGGCCTGGCAGCAGTATCATACGGCCTGGCGTCAATGGCCAAGGTGTTTTTCAACAAGGGCGTGCTCACAGGTCCTCCCTTACTTTCCCTGCATTCTTATTCTTTCCCCGCTGACCTTCCCTCTCCCCTGCATCCCACAGCGGCCTGGCAGCAGTATCATACGGCCTGGCGTCAATGGCCATGGTGTTTCTCAACAAGGGCGTACTCACCTATTACAAATTCAGCATGACGCTGCTAGCGCTGCAGGTGGGCTCGCGTTGGTTTGCGGCTGTTATCACATTCTAATGCATACTTTTCAACAAGGGCGTAGGTGAGCAGGATGTCCGCGACTGGTTCAGGTCCTAGGGCGTGTTTCTCAACAAGGGTGTCCTCACTTATTACAAGTTCAGCATGACACTGTTAGCACTGCTGGTGTGTGGCACATGGGTGGTTCAAAGATTCAGGGGTTGGTGCAAGGGTTCAGGAGTTGATTCAAAGGTTAGAGGTCGGTCCAGTAAACGGAATTGTTACAGTTAAAGCATATTCCTCAACGAGGACGCATTCATCTACTACGAGTCCAGCATGCTGCTTTTAACAGTTCAGCATATGCATATTGCTTCCTTCCACTCCACTTCCGCAGGCAACAGCGCTGACTACACCATCAAGTGCTGACAGTTACGCCTGCCTAGAAAGCCTGTCATTCTCCTTCATCTTGTTCTCCCCGCCCACACACTGCTCTCCCCCCCCCCCCCCCCCCCCCCTCCTCTCCAGATGATCGCCACAACAGCTCTTATTTATGGTTGCGGGAAGCTCGAGTGGATCGCCATGCGCCCATTCTCCCTCTCCACCGCGCGCCGCCTGCTGCCGCTCTCCTTCTTCTATAACGCCAACGTCGCCTTCGCCCTGGCGAGTCTGCAGGGCGTCAACATCCCCATGTACATTGCTCTCAAACGCCTCACCCCCATGGCTGTGCTTATAACGGGGTTCTTCACCGGAAAATCCAAGCCTCCTCTGCAGGTGAGACCCTTGCGCCCATTGCCCTAGTCAGCCTTGGCCCTGGCGTGTGTGGAGTCTGCAGGGCGTCAACATCTCCCCATGTACATTGCCCTCAAACGCCTCACCCCCATGGCTGTGCTCATCACGGGCTTCTTCACTGGCAAGTCCAAGCCTCCTCTGTAGGTGAGACGCTTTTCCCAGGGTTGCACTGGCCAGCCTTCGCCCTGGCGAGTCTGCAGGGCGTCAACATCTCCCCATGTACATTGCTCTAAAGCGGTTGACGCCCATGGCTGTGCTCATAACGGGGTTTTTCACTGGCAAGTCCAAGCCGCCCCTACAGGTGAGACTCACCATGCCCATCCCATTACACCCTCTCCTCTCTCCATCTCCCTCGCCACCTCAGCTTCCTAATTGTCGCTCTAAGAAACATTCCCTTAAACCCCTTGTTCTGTGCCTACATGCTGGCCCTCACGTCGCATCCCTCCCTATTCTCCCCTCACTCCACCCCTCCTCCCACCCCTCACTCTCTGCATCCATCCCATCCCCAACCCCCTTCCAGGTGACTCTCTCAGTTGCTCTCACAACCTCTGGCTGTCTGATAGCAGCACTGGGCGAAGCGATTTCTCCTTGAACCGAGATGACTTTTGAGTCGACTCAAAAGTCACCTCGCCGGGCGATTTCTCCTTGGACCGCTACGCCTACGCACTCACGTCTCAGCTTATGCTGCACTTTTGAAGTCTGCCCCTAGTTCTGAATCCTTCTCCCCCTCCTTCCTTCCCCAATCTACCTGCAAGTCACCCTCTCAGTCTCCCTCACAACCCTTGGCTGCCTCATAGACGCTCTGGGCGATTTCTCCTTGGACCCCTACGCCTATGCGCTCGCGCTCACCTCAGTGCTCTGCCAGACCTTCTACCTGCTGCTCGTGGAGCGCTCCAGGCGGAGCAGGGTGAATGAAAGGGCACTCTCAATCATCCCCGTTCCGTTTCCATTCTCCCCCCCACCCCCCCCCCCCCCCCCCCCCTCCCTCCTCCCCCCGCCACCCCTCCTCCCACCCCTTCTCCCAATTTCACTCTACTCCAACCCCTTCCAGGTGACTCTCTCCGTATCTCTCACAACCTTTGGCTGCCTGATAGCAGCGCTGGGCGATTTCTCGTTGGACCCCTACGCGTACGCGCTTGCGCTCACCTCAGTGCTCTGCCAGACCTTCTACCTCCTCCTCGTGGAGCGCTCGGGGGCAGAGCAGGGCATCTCGTCTTTTGAGCTCATGTTCTATAACGCGCTTCTCTCGCTGCCGTTCCTGGGAGCTATACTCCTCTGCACCAACGAGCTGCCTACCTCCGTGCCTCTGCTCTTCACCATGGTACAACAATCCCCTTCTCTCTTGCACCAGGTTTCTTCGACATTTGAATCGAGTCGCCTCGTGTCTTTTGTCCTTCGAGCTCATGTTCTAAAACGCGCTGCTCTCCCTGCCGTTCCTGGGAGCCATCCTGCTCTGCACCAACGAGCTGCCTACCTCCATGCCTCGGCTCTTCACCATGGTACAGCAACGGCATTCCCCTTCTCTCTTGCACCAAGGTGGTTTCGTTTTCCAGTCATCGAATCAAGTCACCTCTTGCCTTTCTGGCGATAACCTCATCGCTGCTGATGCTTTTGGTCCGCAACTACATCATGTTCCTCTGCAGTATTCTCAACTCCCTCCCCTTCCCTCCCCCTTTTCTCTCCCATCCTCTTCCCTTCTCTCATCGGCCCTCGCACCTATTCTCCCGTCTATCCCCCGTTCCCTTCTTCCTCCTCCTCCCACCTACCAGTGCGCTGAATCCTGGACGTTCACAGTGGCAGTGACAGCATCCCTAGTGATGGCGCTGGTTCTCAACTACACCATGTTCCTCTGCACCATTCTCAAATCCCGCTGTTCCCTCCTCTCACCTACCCGTGTGCTGAGTCATGGACGTTCACAGTGGCAGTGACAGCATCCCTAGTGATGGCTCTGGTCCTTAACTACACCACTGTCCTCTGCACCATTCTCAAATCCCGCTGTTCCCTCCTCTCACCTACCAGTGTGCTGAGTCATGGACGTTCACAGTGGCGGTAACCGCATCCCTGGTGATGGCGCTGGTTCTCAACTACACCATGTTCCTCTGCACCATTGTCAACTCTGCTCTCACCACCACCATTGTGGGAGTGCTTAAGGGTGTTTTCACAACGGTACGTCCATGTTCACACGTACCTTCAACTGTTCTAAACTACACCATGTTCCTCTGCACACGTCAAACTCTGCTCTCACCACCACCATCGTTGGAGTGCTCAAGGGCGTGTTCGCAACGGTATGTCCTCTCCTCTGCACGTAGCATCACTGCCCTTACCGCAATTCATCCTCAACTGCACCATGTTCCTCTCCTCCACATTCATTATTTTACACCGTTCCCACCACCTCCGTGGGTGTGCTCTACAGCGTTTTCACCACGATGTGGCCTGTCCTGTCCTGCGCACCTCTATTCATCAAAATTCTTACACGCTCACCACCACCGTTGTTGTTTACAGCCAATTCTGCTGTGCACGTTGCTCTAAACCTTAGCATTGAACTAAGCTACTCACGCCCTAGGGGGAACTGCTGAACCTTTTCCCACCCCACCACCCACATTTCTCCTGAAATACAAGTTGCAGTGTTTAAATCTCCATCAAAGAAATTCATGCTCTGTCCCCTTTCCCCTCAGATCTTCGGGTTTTTCTTCCTTGGTGGTGTAAAATTCCAGTTACTCAATGTAACGGGTCTGTTTATCAACTCAGCTGGAGGAGTGTGGTACTCTATAGCTAAGTACAGGCAGAAGCAAGCAAAGGTCCCCTCCTCACCCGTTCTCCCCACCACTCGAGATCAAGCCCTTGGTTCTGACTCCCTAGAGACAGATCGTCTTATTGAAGCTTCTGAGAAGGTGGTTGATGATATTCCAAGCCGGGAGGACCCTGCTGCTGCTTCATTTGTTGAGCCGCCAAAGCCATTGTAGTGAGCGATTCATTGGAAAGACTAGTGGATAAGAGCAAATGGTACTGCACAGCAACACAGCCTGAGATAAAGGAAACAATGGTTGACATGTGATGGAAAGACATTACTGGGCTGGCCTCTGCCTTGAGTACTGCGTCCATAAATATTTTGGTAAATTAGCAAGATTTTATTTATCAAGAAATATTCAGCACTTACAAAAAGTTGGCTTCCTATTCACCACCACTTTATTCCCGCTCTTACACCACCACCACAAGCAGCGGCAGTACCTCGATTCTCTAATAGTTGATATTCCTTGAGCCCTTCCCCACCCGACGTGTCCCTACTCCTTTGAGAACTGACCACGCACGGCGCCATCAGGGTACCGCTTAGTATGAATGTTACCGTAATGCGCACTGGGTTTCTTAACAATCTCCTTAAGAGCCGACAGCAGGGTATCCGACCGATCTTCCTTGTTCTTCCCGAGGGAGCCCTCGCATCGCCACTGCTCGCCGCCCTTCTTCTCGTACTGGCACGGCAGGTCAAGAAGGACGGCGTCGTTCTTCCCCTTCTCCCCCTTGTGCACGTGCGTCTTGGTCGGCGGCATCTCTCCTTTCAGCCGGGAGGTTTTCACCGTGTACTTGACCCACTTGGGCTTGTCGTCATCCCTGCATAGCATTGCGGTAAGAAACAGTAGGTTCTGAAGAATTGTGGAAACGTGGAAAGGGAAAGTAGCCGCACTACAGGATTTGGGAGTTACAAGGGACGAGGGAATAAATCCGCCGATCCTGTGGTGCTTGTACAGGTGTGTAAATGTGCGTGTTACTCACATGTAGATGTTCAGCTTCATGTAGACGACGCCGCGATGGTCGCCGACGGCGTTCTTTGCGGCTTGAGAGTCGTTCTTGGGAACCTCGTTCGCTCCCAGCAGCTTGGCAGAAAAGGTGTCTGTGAATGCGAGGGCGAGCGGGGGAGCGATGATAAAGAGGGTGAGAGTGAGTAGATGAGGAGGTGCGAAGAGATTAGAACGACTCGTTGATGCTGAAGGGATGACATTATCATTAGAATGACATGATGACTCAGAGTCCTGGCGATCGAGCAAGAAATGTGGGGAGGAAGGGAGCGAGGGATCTCACCGATATGCTCGTGACTGCAGTGTGCGATATCGAGCATCAGCGCGAGGAAAGCTGCACAGAAACACACACGAGACGAAACTGAGTTAAAAGTTTAGATGGCGACGTTGATTTCTTCATGGTGAAGAAACTTTTTAGGCGTTCCGAAAAATATTGTCGTTCGCGCATAGTAGTACCTAAGAGTAAGGCGCGAGTCGGAGTGAAGGCCATGATGCCGGCGACAGAAATTCGTCGCTGCGATTATCAGACGGCGGTGGATGAGATTAATGCTGGAAGTCTGAGAAGCAGATGAATGGACGGCGGACGGCCACAGAATAAATTGATTGTTGAGTGAAGATGCACATGAATATATAGTCCATCTGTAAGTCTTGGATGGAGGGACCTAGAGAACGCGCCGCGGCAAGTTCAAGACAGCTCTTGAGAATTGCCTGCCGAAGACGCAAAGTTTAGTTTCACGCGGCGCCATCTCACTCTAACCCTGATGCACCTCATATAATTGCGCCACTTCTTTCGGTAAGTTGCTCGGCTCGGCTCAGGCAAGGAATGCTTGGAGAATAATTGCTCAGCGGAGCCTTCTTGCGGTAATGGCGGAGGAAGGGGAGCTTCTGGCTGCTTGCGTAGGAAATCTGGGAAGTCAGTCTGAAGCGGGGAAACCACCGCTGCCAAATGTCTCCGCGACGGGCAATAATCGTCGTGACGCTGCTTGACAGGATGGTCAAGAAACATCGCGTCCCATAAAAACCAACGTCACCGTTCTATATCTCTAGGAAACCGTTTTAAATCAGATTGCAACTCGTGGGATCGCACTGAAGCCCCATATGGCCTGTGCTGATAAAATGGGATTACCGAAAATTGCTCACCGTCCAATAATGGTGCGACTCGAGATGTTTAGCTGGATCTGATAAACAACATAAAACAATGAACATAAGGCGTGTGTAGTTAGAGATATATTACATAGAAGGAACTATCTACAACTCCACAAAATCCTTTAGAGAGATTAGGAATCCTAAACAGCTCGCTCACTTGTGCAGCACCACCACTGCCAATGCCTCCCTTGCTTTCACCACAACCAATGCCCTCAACTCAAGCAGCTCTGGATGAAAGAAGCTGGCTTCTCAGCCACTCGTTCCCCTCTGCATCCCCCTCCAAAGCCTTCACCTGCGCGGCTACAGCCCTCAGTGCCTCCTCTGCAGTCATTTTGTCGAGAGGCAGCGATGCGAACTCCCGAAGGAATTGCCGTGCTCGCCCCACTCCCTCCCTCTGCTCCTCCCCTCCATCCCTCTTACGCTTATCCCCACCAGCACCACCAGCAGCAGCAGCACCAGCACCAGCAGCCGCACCAACGCCAGCATCAGCACCATGAGCAGCAGGAGGGGCAAAGTCTTCGAGCTCCTGTGCCTTGGCTCGTGCCATGGCCACCACTTCGGGAGGGAAGTGTGCAAACTCTGCCACGTGGATGCCAAAGCTCTGATCACACGGGCCTGGTTGCACCTGGGGGAGGTGGAACCAGTGACAATAGAAAATCTTTGATATAATGAGGGGAAAACTCTGTGTAGAGGGAGGGAAGCCCTGCTAGGGGAGGAAATTGTCCTATTCTGTCACATGAAAGCCCAAGTTCTGGTCACGCGGGGAAGGCTGCACCTGGTAAAGAGCTGGAGTTATTACAGCACCAAACTTTTATAACATGAAATTAATATAGCAAGAGAACTAGGAACGATTGATCCCATAATGACCCTAAGAAAGACACTTTATCACAAAAAGGCACGGAAGGAAGGACAACGAGAAAGGACCAGCAATGGGAGGAAGGAGCCCAATGCGATACCTTGTAAAGCATGGTGAGCTTCCTGGAAGCTTCATCAATGTGCGCGCTGACGTGGAAGTTGGCAACACCACAGGAAGCATCTCGGGTTTCGAGAGCCGTGAGCTCGTGAAAGTGCGTGGCGAAGAGTGTGGGCGCTCTAGTCTCATCCACTAGATGCTCACAGATAGCCCACGCGAGACCTGAAAAAAGGGGTGGTGAGTGAGAGTAAGGCAAGAGGGCCGTGAGCTCGTGAAAGTGCGTGGCGAAGACAGTGGGCGCTTTAGTCACATCCACTAGATGCTCACAGATAGCCCACGCGAGACCTGAAAAAAGGGGTGGTGAGTGAGAGTAAGGCAAGAGGGCCGTGAGCTCGTGAAAGTGCGTGGGGAAGACAGTGGGCGCTTTAGTCACATCCACTAGATTCTCACAGATAGCCCACGCGAGACCTGAAAAAAGGGGTGGTGAGTGAGAGTAAGGCAAGAGGGCCGTGAGCTCGTGAAAGTGCGTGGCGAAGACAGTGGGCGCTTTAGTCACATCCACTAGATGCTCACAGATAGCCCACGCGTGGCCTGGTGGGAGGGGTATATACGAAGGGGAAAGGGGGGTGAGGCGAGAAAGGAAGGCACCAGTGTGTCTACCCTTGTGAAAGTGTGTGGCAAAGAGGGTAATTGCTCTAGTCACGTCCGCGAGATAATCACAGATGGCCCATGCAAGAGCAAAGGCAAAGCCGGAGTGACCGGCACGTGCTGAGGCCGTCACTGGTGGAAGTTCTATGCCCTAGCACGTGCCAACTTGCTCTGGCTGATGTTCTACGCTCATCAGTGGTAACCAGCGAGTGCAACGTCCCGGCTATCTCCATCGAGCCCGGAGAAAACGCATGCCACGCACTTTCACGAGCATCTCGTGAGCTCGTGAAAGTGCGTACCGAATCCATCGTAAGCCGTTTTTTAGAAATCTCAAAAACACTATCCATCGTAAGCGGACGTTCCCCGCCCGCCCCAGCTCGTCAATAATGACCATTGAGTGTGGTGAGACGGTGTGGACACTCCCAAAGTCAGAACGTACTTAAGCCGGCACTCACCAAAGCCATCGTACGTCGACGTTCCCCTTCCCAGCTCGTCAATGATCACCAGCGAGTGCGGCGTGGCGGCATGCAGGATGGCGGCTGTCTCGAGCATCTCCGCCATGAAGGTGCTCACTCCCCTCAGCTGGAGGCGACAAGGCAGGGCACGTAGAGGAACGAGGAGGTCAGAAGTATGAGCAAGTTGGGGGGTTGAGGGATTCAAAGCAACAACTTGCAGAATGGCGGCTGTCTCGAGCATCTCCGCCATGAATGTGCTCACTCCCCTCAGCTGGCAAGAGACAAGGCAGGGAGGGAGGGGGGAGAGGGAGGTGAGAAATCTGACAGTTGTGGAATCACAAGAGGCGGCGTAGCGCTATCCGAATGGCAGCTGTTTCCAGCATCTATGAATGTGCTCATTCACTTCCCTCAGCTGAAGGAGAAAAGAGCAGGGAGAAGCAACAGGGCAGGGAGCAACACCAGGATGGGAGTTGTGGGGGGATGCAATCAAGCGCCAGCCTCCTTCCATCCAACTTACCCCTTCCCTTCCCCGTTCGAACCTCCCCCTTTCCATTCTCACCCCTCACCTGGCAATCGCCAGCGCCCACGCAGGCAAAGATGGCGTCTCGAATGCTCACGTGTGCGCTTTCCACTCGTCCCCCTCCCCGACCCACATCACCTGTCAATCACCCATTCCCCACCATTTCCTCCTCACCGCCCACATCCTCCCCCATTGCATCACCCCTCCATTACATCTCCCCCCTTCCCACCTGGCAATCCCCAGCGCCCACGCGGGCAAAGATGGCGTCTCGGATGCTCACGCGCGCACGGGAGCAAGGCACCTGATACTCACACGCACCTGCCACCCACTCCCTCCCTTCCTCCCTTCAATGCACCTTCCACCCCCCTTCTCACCTGGCAATCGCCAGCGCCCACGCGGGCAAAGATGGCATCTCGTATGCTCACGTGTGCGCGGGAGCAAGGCACGAAGCACCCCACCTGTGCCATCAGCACCACCACTCCCACCTGCAGCACACACGCAGAGTAAGAGTATGGGGATGAGAGGATATGTTTTAAGTTAAGGACGTGTTGTCAGGAGTTTGGGGGTGTCCATGATACCTTTATGCAATGCACCTGGCATAAAAACATGCCTGGCAATTAAACACACCTGAAGTAAAACCAAAAAAAAAAAAAAAAAAAAAAAAAAAAAAAAAAAAAAAACTGACGTTAGAACGTACCTGAAGTATGAAACACACCTGGCGTATAAACGTTGACTTGCCGCCCATGTTGGGCCCGGTGATGATTTGAAACCAGCTGCGACCCCTCTCCTGGTGGGGTGGGGTGGGTAGTGGGTGGGTGGAATGCAGTACATAGGGGTACCGTCGGGTACTCTCGGGTGGTGTGAGGAGATGAGTGGCAGATGGGGCAGATGGGTGCACGAGGGAAGAGATGCGTGCAGATGAGAACAGACGGGTGAACCACCACTGAGGGGAATGGGAACACACCAGGCGACAACGGTTGAGGATGAAGCTGACGTCATCTTGCACCTCCACCACACATGGGTGGGCTGATCAGCATGATAGAGGCAGCAGAGAATCACTTCTGAGAATTCTCTTTTTGAGACTTGTGAGAATTTCTCAAAGGCGCCAGAGAAGAGTTGAATTTGGAGTCGACTCAAAAGTCAACATGGGCTGATCAGCATATGATAGAGCCAGCAGAGAATCACTTTTACGAATTCTCTTTCTGAGACTTGTGACAATTTCTCAAAGGCGCCAGAGAAGAGAATCACGTGAAGGGACACGCACCAGGCGGCAGTGGTTGGGAATGAAGCTGACGTCATCCTGCACCTCCACACATGGGTGCCGGCTGTCCTCCAACACTAGATCGCCCTCCTCCTGGTGTCATGCCATGCCATGTCATGTGTGCCACGTATGCCATGCCATGCCATGCCATCATCCCATGCCATCCCATGCGATGCCATGCCATTTGAAGCGTCAATAGGTGGGAGGAAGGGGATAGGGAGGAGGAGGGGAGTGGACGGAAATGTGAAAAATAATGCAGCAGGACGAAAATGGGAGGCAATAAGGCATGGGAGCAACAGGTCACTCACTAGCCAGGTTGCAAATCTGCAAGGAACACACTTTGTGCTTCAAGAAACGTGATAAAAAAGTGTGAAAAACATAGATGTATCACCAGCCCGTTTTTCAAGTTCGTACCGGGCCTGAGATGGAGGGTCGGATGTAGGGAGTGGGAGCCGAAGCTGCAAGCTCGGCAAAACCCTGTAGCACGTCCATTTCAGCGATCAGTGCTGCCACGCCCTCAAACACCTGCGCCAAGCAGGGAAATGAAGGCATTGAGAGGAAATGAACATGATGGTACTCAAATCGGTTGTGCTTTGAGCGAATTCCAAAGGCAAAGCACAAAATTAAACCGAAACAGCCTGAACCTGAAATATAAACCCATCTCTCACCTCCAAGATCGTTTGTGCCACTTCCACCACCTTCGCAACCAGCTCCCTCTGAGCCGCCATGTACCACATGAGTCTCCATAGACCCTTGGCCTGAAGCATGGGTTTCAACACACTAGATCTAGAACTCTAGACTCTAAAACATAAACCCTAAAGCCCCAAACCCATGTCTCACCTCCAAGAACGTCTGTGCCACTTCCACCACCTTTGCAACGAGCTCCCGCTGAGCCGCCATGTACGAATCCGTGAGCGCCACGTGGCGCTCGCTCAGCCTCCGGAGCTTCGCATTCGTGAACTTGACTCCGTCCTTCCTGGTCTCAAGAGTCACATACGACGAATTCAGCTTCTTCCTGACGTTCGTCTCCTCTTTCTTCGTTATCCTGTAGCAATACCCCGCCTGCGCCGTCTTATCTAATTTAATCGTCTTATCCACTATGAGGCCTAAATCGTTTGCTGCTTGCTGCAATGCTCTCTGCACTTCGACTTCAACCCCCTCCCTCTCCTCTTTAATCTCCCCTAGGCTTGGGTCATAACCTGGAGCTATTAAATACTCTCCGTTTGACTGCAGAGCGTCTAAGTCTACTGCTGCTTCCACCAGACCCTCGTACTTAGCTAAGTGCTCCGCCCCGCACCACTCGAGCAGGCTCGCGCCAAACCTCTCGTGCAGCATCGGGCGGAACGAGCCTCCGTGGGTTTCAAGCACCTCTCGGATGAATGGAAGGCGAATGCTGGCCTGAAATGAGGGCCGAAAACGGAAAAGGAGAAAAGGGAGGGTTGGTGGGTGGGGGAGCAAGCAGAGCAGAGGGAAAAGAAGAGGGGAGCAGGTGAGAGGGAGGGCGATAGGTGGGTTCCAATCACCTCGTTGATGAAAGGAAGACTTTTGAGTCGACTCAAAAGTCACCTCAGGACGACAGGTGGGTTCCACTCACCTCGTTGATGAAAGGAAGGCGAATGGTGGCCACGGGGGGAAAGGAGGAAGGGAGGGGTGGTTGGATCACTGAGAGCTAAGGGGGGTAAAAAATACTATGACTGTCTCATACTCGCAACAGCCACACTCGTTACGGTCACACTCGTTGCAGTCACACTCGTTACAATCTCACCTGATACAGCTTAACCCCGTCCTGCAGCCCAGCTCGTCTCATCTCCAGTCGCCTCATCAGCCTCTCTATATCCGGCATGCGTCTCAAATGCCCCCCGCACTCGCTACAGTGTCTTACTCGCTACAGTCATACTCGTTACAGACTCACACTCGTTACTAACTCACCTGGTACAGCTTAACCACGTCCTGCAGCCCAGCTCGCCGCATCTCGAGCCGCCTAGTCAGCCTTTCTATATCCGGCATGCGTCTCAGATGCCCCCGCACCTCCTGCCTCATCCCGCCACTCTCTACAAACGACTGCACCACATCCAACCGAAACTTAATCTCCTCCTCATCCACTAACGGCTGCTTCAACCACCGGTTTAGTAACCGTTTCCCCATGCCCGCAGTGCACGTGCGGTTCATCAGTCCCATTAAGGAAAAGTTTCTATTTCCGTCCGTTTTGGATTCGGTGACGTTGAGGGCGCGGAGGGCGGTCGCGTCGAGGCGCATGTGGGTGTGGAGGCTGTAAGGAAGGAGAGTGTACCGACCGTAGATACTATCGTCTGCTAACAGATCAGCATAAGCGAGTACAGCAGCCATCGCAGCCCCCGCGATTTCAGAGTCTACAGTAACCTTCTGGCCTCCTCCCCCTCGACCCCCTACTCCTGCTGCTCCCGTCATCCTCCCTCCGCTTCCCCCTCCGCCTCCGCCTGCGCCCCTTCCCCCTGCGCCGCTCGCCCCTCGTAAAAGCCTCCCCAGGTCTTGCTCCACGTCGCGCGGCTTAAACTCCGCCCGTTTCCGCTCAACTATAAGCACGTTGCACCGCGACATCACGTCTCTTAATCTTCGCACCTCGAGCGACTTGGCCCCCTTCTTATCCGCTCCCCCGCCTCCGCCTCCCCCTCCGCTTCCCCCGCCCCCCTCCTGCGGAACCACGCACTCGCGACAGCTCAGCGCGACGAGCGCGGATTCCAGACACGTGTACTGCTCGTCGTCCAGAAAATCCGTCATTCCTAACGCGCGCTTCGTCAGATCCACGAACGCCAGCCCCACACGCCGCTCGCCGTCCTTCGCGCCGCCTACTCCGCCGCCGCCGCCGCCGCTCGTGGCGACGATCACGGCGCACACAGTCGGCGAGTCGCCCATGTCGCGCGTCGCGAACAGCACGTCCTCGAAGGCCGTCAGCCGCCCCGGCGTCGCGGCCCGCGCGAGCCGCCAGCTAGAGCCGCCGCCTTCGTATAGCTCCACAGTCGAATACCCGCCACCGCCGCCCGTGCCGGAACCGCCGCTGTTACCCCCGCCGTCTCCGCCGCCACCCTCCGCGCCTGTTCCCCCCGCTCCGCCTCCGCCTTCCTCTAGCAGCAAGTGGCGGAGGATCGACTCGAACATGCTGCGGTTGACGCTCACGCTGGGGAGTGCCGCGGAATCGTTGGCGCCCGCGGAACTTCCTGCCGCGCTTGCTCCGCCCGCGGAGAGGTAGCGCACGGCGGAGAGCGTCTTGTAGAATACGCGCGCGACGAAAAGCGCTGCGAGGCCGTGCACAGTGTAGTAGTCGCGACGGTCGAAGAAGCGGATCGTGTGCGGTGCCTGGGGGACGGGGGGAAGCGGAGAGGGAAGCGGATAGGGAAGCGAAGAGCACGGCAGACATGCAGAGGGGCAATGTATGGGGCACGGGCTGAGGGGCACGGTGCAGTAGTCGCCGCGGAGGTCGAAAAGACGAAAACAAGGAAAAAAGGAGCACCAGCGTTCATGTATCATGGGTGGAAGGGAAGGGAAGAAGGACAGAAACCCCTGGGATTTCCACGAGTGTCCAACAATTTTGCGACTGAGATCTCAAACACCGAAGTTCACGTACGGGTGGAAGCGAGCGGAAGAAGGAGAGGAACCCTTGAGCTTGCCGAGCGTCTATCGAACGACAAGGGAAGGAGGGGGCAAAGGGGGAGGGGGCATGCGTTACGTGGATAAAGAAAGCAAAGATCAGGAATGTTACTGCCCTAGGTGGCATTTGAGTCGACGCAAAAGAAATAGAGAGACAAAACACTACCAGGGAGGCTATCGTACTACAAGTGTCCGTTGCTGCGGACAGGCCGGTTAATATGACGCACCGAGTTTGAGCTCTGGCAGCTTCGCCTCTCCGCCATCCATGTCCGCCATATTGGCTTGCTCGTTATCGTACGAAAAGGATACCACTGCGCGAAAAAAAGTTATTGCTGCACGAAATGGCTACCACCAGACAGCGTGATGTTGTGCGTATGACACCGTGGGACTTGGTGACCGAGAATCAAGACCGGTGCGCACAAGCCACGCGATGCAGCCGAACGAGGGACGTTAGAACACCGTGAGACTGGGTGATCAAGAATCAAGACCGAGCTACTAAATTGCGGCTTCACTCCAAACGAGTAGAGAAGCACTTAGAGAACAGCAGAGTCCGCATGTGGAATGAGAAGGAACAACACAAGCACACCAAGAAAGAATCGAGGGACGAAGAGTGACGGAGACGGGGTAAAAGGCGGGAAACATTCAAACTCTGAAATGTGAATCCCTACAAGGAGATCTCACTATTCGTTAATATCATTCGTTTCAATCTACACTCTAATTGTCCATTTGCTCATGCATTTCATCCAAAGATAAGAAAGGCCTATTGTAAGGAAATTCCCTTTTCCTTACTTCGCGTCCCTGCTCAACGCGTACATCACTGTAGCAACTCAGTCAGCACCGTTACCACTCGCGACCATCGCATCATTCATCATCCCGCCCTTTTCGCACATCGCATCCCGACCTCACGGCTCGGCTGGTAACCCGCGCTCCGGGCCTACGCTTCGACACTTTCCAAACCTCAGTCCCAGGCTCGTCACGCGACCATTACCGTTACCACTATAGTTTCGCTATATAATGTTCGCTCATGCCTTCGCTCAATTGTATTCTTGCTTCGATAGTGCAATTCTCGTTCATTCACTCAATTGCACTCGTAACACTTGGTATTCAGAGCCTACTATCTCATCTCGGACCGCATCCACACCTTCGCTTCCCACTATCTCAATTTTTGGGGGGGGTAGACGTCTCTCAGCGACACAGCACCGCCGCTCGTAGTGCTCTCTCGAAAGCACGCACGGCCACGACCGAGGCTCTCGCTGAGCTTGCCCGACACCCCCGCCATGGCCGATTTCAATCTCGCCACGTTGACGCAGGAGCAACTCGATCGTCTCGTGCGTCAATTGGAGGATTCGGCGCTCGAAATCGCGACTCTCACGGCGGAACGTGACTCCGCCCGTCAACAGTCAACGGTGAACGTACCGACGACATCACACGCACCAACCAATGCATGCACATTCGGAGGAGCCCATCGTCATCTCATCCGGCACACCAACGCAACACAACAGCACGGGACAGCGCTCAGGCGCAGCCAGTGACGGCGCAGCCCAACCGATGCCCGGCATGGGAGGGAACAGGAGCGCATTAAGCCTACGGGAGCCCCGAGAAGCCCGTCGGCACGTGGAGTTTGCGGCGACAAGTGGCGAGAACGCCATGGTGGCCCCAATGCCACTCAAGCCGCAACGCCCCCCCTGCTTCGACCCAAGCCAACGCGGCGGCCCGACAGTTCAATCGTGGGTCTTCACGATGAATGTGTTTTTCGACGCCAACTACGTCGAGTCGGACGCCGCCAAGATCCGGTATGCGGTTTCACTACTCAGGGGCCCCGCCATGGACTGGTGGCGAGTCATTGTGACGTCGCCGCGCGCCTACGAGCCACCGTCGCACGAGGAAGGGCCCTCGGGTCCAGCTGTTACCTGGAGTTCGTTCTGCGAAACCGCCCAATACAGCACGTGGGATGCGTGGTGCGCAGGGCTTCGGGCGCGCTTTGAGCCGATCGCGGCCTCGATTTCGGCGCGTCAGAAACTGCGCACTTGGCGCCAGCTCGGGTCAGTTCAAGACTACACCAGCGAGTTTCTCGCACTTTGCGAACAGGTCGGCTACATGCACGAGGCGGAGCGGGTGGACCGTTACGTCGGAGGGCTGAAGCCGCACATCTCGCACGAGATAATGCTACGCGGGCTCTCGAATTTCAACGAGATCCCCGCGCTCGCCGAGAAAATCGATATCCTACGACGACCGAGACCGGGGTCCTATTACGGACATCGTCCTCGGGGACCGACCGAGCACGCCACTGTACATGCCGTCGCAGCGAATGCAGCTGCCGCGCCGTTTAGAGGGCGCTGCTTGTCAAACATTATATATGTTCTGCTTGTGTAGGCTACAGTGGGTTAGCCTATAGGGGGTACACAATTCTAGGGTTTCCTACTTGTACTCATTTTCACTGCTAGTTCATTCATTCCTGTTCGCTTATTCTCACATGGTATAGAGCGGGTCCTTCTACGGACCGTTTTTTTTTGGGCCCACCGAAGCGCCCCTCGAGGCGCGATTTTTTTTTAGCGACCCCTCGGGTCGTCATTTTCCCTGCGGCCCCGCCGCTTTCACTGACGCGGCCCCGCCGCTCTCTCTGACGGGGCCCCGCCGCCGGCCCTTACGCGGCCCCGTCGCCGGCTCTCACGCGGCCCCGCAGCAGGCTCTGTCGCGGCCCCGCCCCGGCCTTTACGCGGCCCCGCCGCCTGCTCTCACGCGGCCCCGCCCCGGCTCCTTCGCGGCCCCGCCGCCTGCTCTCGCGCGGCCCCGCCCCGGCTTCTACGCGGCCCCGCCCCGGCTTTCACGCGGCCCCGCCGACGGCTTTGTCGCGGCCCCGCCCAGGCCCTTACGCGGCCCCGCCGCCTGCTCTCACGCGGCCCCGCCCCAGCTCCTTCGCGGCCCCGCCGCCTGCTCTCGCGCGGCCCCGCCCCGGCTTCTACGCGGCCCCGCCCCGGCTTTCACGCGGCCCCGCCGACGGCTCTGTCGCGGCCCCGCCCAGGCCCTTACGCGGCCCCGCCGCCTGCCCCCGTCGCGGCCCGGTCGCCTCCTGACGGCCCCGCCGTCCCTTCGTGACGGCCCCGCCGTCCCTTCCTGACGGCCCCGCCGTCCCCTCCTGACGGCTCCTGCCGTCCCCTTCTACCGGCCCCGCAACTGCACCTGCTGGCCCCGCCGCTGCACCTACCGGCCCCCACCACCCACCCCTCCTTTTCCCGTCGCCTGTCGAGGCGACCTGAGGGGGCCGCTTGCGGAGGGGTGGCAGGTGTGTGGCCTCCCCTGCTTCTCCTCCTCCTTCATCGCTCACCTGCAGCAGCCGAGCCGCCCCACCGCCGAGCCGCCCTGCACCCGAGCCGCCCAGCAGCCGAGCCGCCCTGCCGCCGAGCCGCCGGGTCGCTGAGCTGCTGAGCTGCAGTTGCTGCCGAGCCGCCCTACCGCCGAGCCGCCGAGTCACCGAGCTGCTGAGCTGCAGTTGCTGCCGAGCCGCCTTGCCGCCGAGCCGCCCGAGTCGCCCGAGCCGCCGAGCCGCCGAGCTGCCGAGCCGCTGAGTCGCCGAGCCTACTCTTCCCACCACTGGTGAGCTCTTGCCCTGCTAGCACGCTGCGCGTCGCCTGCTTGCCTGCCTGCCTGCCTTTTGGCTTGCCTGGCTGCCTGCCTTCCTGCTGCTAGTCCTGCTCCTGCTTCTACTTGCGGAGCCAGATGCAGCCCCAGCGACGCCTGCGTGAGTCCCTCACGCCCCAGCAGCTGCGTGAGTGGTACGCTGGTTGGGGCTGTAGGGGTGGCGACGCTACTCCTACTTCCACTCCTGCTGCTTCTACTCGTGGTGGCGGCCAGATGCAGCTCCCGCGACCCTCTCGCGTGTCTCTCACGCCTCGCCAGCTTCGTGAGTGGTACGCTCAGAGTGGAGGGTCTCTCAGTGCTGTTCGCTGCTCTTACGTGATTCGCACTGGTACTCGGACTGGTCAGCCTTGTGGGACACGTAGTCATACACAGTCCCGCTGATTCGCCCGTCTGAGCGACGCCTGGCGTACCGTGTTTGGCGACGAGGCTGAGCTTCCCGACTGGGTGGAGTTGCTTAGGCAGAGGGTAGATATATATGCTCTTGACTATGATGCTATTCTCACTGCCATGTATGCATTGCCTACTAGTGCTGACCGTGCCGGTCACCTGTGCGTCCCGCCTGACCCAGGTATAGGACCTGCTGCTCTAGCTACTGGTGAGGCTGCTGCTCTGGGTGCTAGTGAGTCTCCTGCTCCAGGTACAGGTGCGGCTGCTGCTCTAGGTGCTAGTGAGTCTGCTTCCTCAGGTGCGGGTGAGGCTGCGCTCTCAGGTACCGCGTTGGCATCGGCCTCCCTCACCTTTACACTTGACTCTGGGGCTTCTCGCTCCTTCTTTCGGGACCACACCACACTCACGCCGCTTGGTCGGCCGGTTGCTGTCTCCCTGGCTGACCCCTCTGGGGGTCCTGTCCTCGCTCACTTCTCCACTGTCCTCCCGTGTCCGGCTGCCCCCTCGGGCACCCTGTCTGGCCTGTACCTCCCCTCGTTCTCGACGAACTTGGTGAGTGGTGCAGACCTACAGGATGCGGGGGTTCACCAGTTCACTCCTGCGAGTCAGCGGGTGACCCACTGCACGGACGCACGCACAGGCCGGCACCTGGCCACGTTCTCGCGTCGGCCGGGGTCGAGCCTCTACACCCTGACCACTGAGTCTCCTCCTGTCCCCGCGTCCGGTCAGGTAGCAGCGTCGGGTCAGGTGTTTGCTGCTGCGTCCAGGTCTGGTCCTGAGTCTGCCCCCTGTTCGTGTCGCCTCCTGTCTCACGAGACTCTTCTGTGGCACCACCGTCTAGGCCACCCCTCCTTGCCCCGTCTTCGGGGCATGGCTTCCCGTGTCCTTGTCTCTGGTCTTCCCCAGTCTCTCCCTCCCCTTCCTTCGGGACCAGGACCTTCCTGTGTCCCCTGTGTCGAGGGGCGCCTCAGGGCTGCTCCTCACTCCTCCCAGTTTCCCCCGACAGAGGCTCCTCTGCAGACACTTCACATGGACGTGTGGGGCCCGGCCCCCGTCCGTGGGCAGGGTCACGAGCGCTACTTCCTGTTGGTGGTTGACGAC